CCGAAACGATTCACAAGCTGACTAGCTCTGACCCAGCCTCACAGAGGTGGGTTTGCTCTAGAAGAAGCTGGAGTCATCCTTATCTCAGGTCATACATAGCCTTACACTTCAGGGGCTTTTGTGTTTCTCAAACTCACCTAAGGAGTAAGTGTTGCTTTAGGATAGACCTAAAATCATTCACTGATTTATTCATTCATATTTACAAGTAAACACTGTCCTAGGACTAGAGACACAAAGATAGATTCTATTCTTAAGAGCTCATGCAACTGGATGAGGACTTAAGAGAGAGAGGGAGAAGAGAGACATATAAATATATGCTGATAATACAGAATCCCTTCCCCCACCTTTTAAAAATGTAAAATATAGTTTGTCCTGCTATGGCAAGTAAAAGTTTGATTCATTTATTTAATCAGCAAACATTTGCTGAATGCTTGCTTTGTGCCCTGCCCTATACGGGTGCTGCCCCTACAAGGGGGTACACTTAAGGAGGAGCCCAAGGGGAATGCTGGGAGGATCAGAGCAGCACCTCCCTCGTGATTATCCTTTCACCTGGCCCTCTGGGGAAGGAATGCAAAATGTAGGAGAGCTAGTAAACATTTTTCAGATTTAGGATTATCAGTTTAGTTAACAGTAGGTTATTCCAATTGTTATTTAAATATGACAATTATATAACACCTGAAAAGATACTTAAAGTGTCTTTCTTCCACTGCGAAGACACGAAGAAGGGAATAGTGTGAAGCATGTCGCGGAGTTGGTGGCTTTTCTTATTTCCCACCTCTGAGGTAGGTATCAGCAGCCCCTTTCCACAAAGGAGGAAAAGCAGGCTCAGAGTTCAGACGCTTGCTCCAAGCAGCAGAACCCCTTCAAGGCCTTAAACTCTTCCCACCTCAGACATGGCTGAAACACAGAAAGCACCAAAGTACTTTTCTTGCCATTTGTTATGTAAGGAAGGTGATTTATTCCTATTTTTATCTTGCTTTTGTCTCCTGTCAGCACAGTTGTAAGGGCAAAGGTCTCCACAAATAAGGCTTTTCCTCCAAGTCAAGTACAGCAGGTCGGACTGTTTCACGGTGTTTTTATTCCATTGCAGTTTGTCTTGGGCAAGGTCAGTTTAAGCTTGTCTCACTTTAACTTGTCTTTTCATAAATTACCACTAGAATTGTAGTCAGTACCTCTGTGGTGGGGGTGGTAGGGGTGGGGACATAGCTGAAGGGAGCTCAGCCCAAAGGCATTGAGGAGTGTTTGTAATTTTAAGAAAAAAAATAGGAGTCCTTTCCTTTCCTCCATTTTTCCTTTGACCACCCCTTTGATGAAGCCTGTGAGATGTAATTCACTGACATACATTTTTGATTAGCCAGGCACTGGGGTCAGGGCTGCCCTGCGGTGCCTATGGCCTCACTGGTCGTCAGGAAGACAGATGTGTGTTTTACAGTCATGGAGCATGCATGGATCAATATTTGTAAGACTGCATGGTTCTATCCTTGAATCATATTCATAAACTGTAAAGGTACTAGAGGTCATCTAATGAAGTGGTTTTTCCAGCCTTTTTCTTTAAGCATAAAAACTGAAATTCTTACTAGCAAGGCCAATAAATAAAACCAGTAAGTGGTCCATTCGGATATAGCTCCTAGGTTCTCTTCTCAGTCCTTAATGTTTCCTTGGAGGCCCAGTTTAAAAACTGAGAGTAGTCTATCAATTTAATAAAAACGTTTTGAGCAAATACTGTGCGTCTTGCACTGTTGTTTGGGAAAACCACTGGGCCTAAAATTTGAGTATGCTCTGGTCCCTAGCTTATTTGGAGAGGGAGATGTTCTTAACACACCATAGTAAATTCAGTGACACAAGTGTGTTATTACAGTGGCATGGAATGGGGACTCCCTGATTCAGTCTGGGGGTATTGAGTCTAAGCCTGAGTCTCTAAGACTGAGCAAATTAGGAGGGCAGTTAACTTGGGAAGGTGTGGCAAAGTGTATAATCCAAACGGAAGAATGGAGTCGGTAAGCAGTTAGGGGTGCATTCTGCAAACTACATGCCCTCCCATGTAGCAGGCAGTGCTGTAGGAGCTGATGAAGACGGCCTGAGCCATATCTTGGTTCTTTAGGCAAGATGGAGCCACTGAAGGCCTTTCAGTAGGAAAATCAGGTATTTACACTTTAGATCACCAACAGAGTGGATGAATTTGATGAGATCAAAAAGAGAGTTAAGAAGACAAGTCAGTAGAGTACAGCAGTATCTCTCTGACAGGGAGCATAAGAGCAGGAGCAAGTTTTTGGGAGTGATGATGCATTCATTTTGAGATTCCAGGTAGGAACACCAGCAGTGATTGGATGGATATCTCAAGTCTGAAACTTTAGAGAATACACCATAATCCTGTATACATAGAAAGGGACTGGAGAGAGATGTAGGAGAAGGTTAATTTTACTTAATTTTTATTTTCTTAATCTTTTTCTGTACATTGAGCATTTATTACTTTTTATAACCAGGCAAAAGAATATTTTAATTTTTAAATTGTTAACCCAGTTTCCAAACTTTGCTCTCCTACTTTAACCAAATTGGCGTTACACCATATACAGAATATCCTGCATTTTCACTAGCAATTATATTTGGGAACAATACTACATAGCATTAAAATGCTTCCAAAAGAAATATGCAAGTATTTATCAGTCTTCTTACACCAAACTGCATGATTTGGCTTAGTTGGGTACTATGCAGGTACTGTATGATCGAAAAATCTCTTGAGAATAAACCAGTGTTCACAGCACGTCAAGTGCTCTCTTGGAGTCAGCAGGCAGCCCAAATGGTCTCAGTCATTAACGACGGTAGAACAAATGCAAAGCTGATATCTAGCTCAGTCTCTTCAAAGTCTGACTTGCATGAAGAAATACAGGCTTTCTGACATAGCCTGAGGATGATGTCTTGCCTAAAAACAGCAAAGAGAAGTTGGGTGGTCTTTATTTGAAAGCTGCCACAACAAGCAGATCATCATCCGTGTTAATATCATCTACCAAATTGATAGTTGACCTTAACAGAACATATGCACTCCCAACGGTGCCTTTCAGCATTTGCCACTTTTAACTCATTAGAAGAAAACTACCATCACCATCACTATAATATTCAATGTCTGTTATTTCCACTATGCTCAGAACTTAAAAATTTTACAAATTCTTTATTATAGTATTGCCAGCTTATTCTAAACCATTAAAGCTCTGTATGGTTATTCAATGAGTTAACATGCCAATGGCATACATTTCTAGCAATTTGCTGCAATTCTCAGTTACCATTAGACGTAATGGAATACTTGGATAAGGAGAGTCTGATTCAATGGCAAGTTTTCAAGAGAACACTTTTCACCATGTTCAATATGTTAACTTTAGCTAAAGATTGTGGATAGAGGCAGGTGTAGTGCTGGATCTGCAGACTTAAAAACAAACAAAAACACAGGTAGACTTACCATCAGGAATAATATAAGCAGCCTTAGCACCATAGTCAAGGTTTTAAAAACTTGATCTTGTATCTAAATGGGTTCATTTCCTAATGGAAAGAAACTGGCTACTACACAGTATAGATTTGGGAGACATGCCAACTTGAAGATGCTATCAAAAGATGAAAGTCTGAATCTTATTTTTAAAAAATCACACTTTAGATTTTTATGTGAGATCTCCTGATTTTTAACTCAGAAACTCTTAAAGTTATTTAGGGAATGATACAAAAAAAACCCCAAAAAATACAGGGAATTAGACCATTAAATCATTTCAAGTGGATGACATAATTTAATTTGAAAAGATTAGTGTGGTCTTCCTAAAATGTGGCTGATAAAGATTACTCAGGGCACTTCTCTGACAATAGAGGTAGTGACCCATTCTCCTTCAACTCTGACTCAGAGGGTGTTAGGTTTGATTGGGGGTCAAAAATTTGTAGTTCAAGAACTTCAGATAGTTCTAGGTTCAAACAATCAGCCAAGTTAGGGAAATAGTGCCTAAGGGAGGAAACAGCAAAAATACCACCACAGCTCCCATCCCCTTTCTCAAACACTGCCCGTCAAACTACCTGAGAATGAGAAACATTCGACTGAAATTGAGGAATTATTTGTAGAACACTGTTTATTTTAAGTCCCAAACATGAAAGTACTCATTTTTCTTAACAGACCGCATAATTTTTACTGCAATGAATATTTAGGGTTTCTTTATTCACAAGTATAGATTTATTTCTGAACTTTAGGCTCAAATGATTCCTATATAGAAGTATCAGTTTACTACAGAGGACATGTACTTTAACAATTTGTTTAGAAAATACTTTACATAAAAACACACATTTATCAACACTCTTCAGTCTTTACATCCAGTCTTCAGCAGAGATTTGGCTGAAGCTCATCATTTTCTACAAACACTCCAAGACTGCATAAAATAGAATGTAATATTTTACATACTTCAGCTTATTATTGCAGTTAAAAGTTCCCCTTTCTTTGAGGGCTTCTGCATCATTTATACTCACAAAGCAGGATAAGTCTTATTCTTCAACTAGTGAGTTGTTAAAAAAACTTTCTTGGTGTAACTTGTCCTCAACCAAAAACCTGAACAGCCTGGTGATGATAAAATCAAGTAACTGACATACATATAGGGCTTTTAGAAAGGGCTTTTCCAAACTAGTAATAGAAGAATACCTATCATCATAATATCCTTTACTGTTTTGTGTTCAATAACTACCACCTGGAGTGCTATTACTTCTAGTAGAATCAGTTGGCATCAAAATATAAAGTAAAAATACGTACATTTTTAAATCAATCCTTACCTGAATTACCTCAGATCTCAAGAATGTTCCACAAAGTGGAACATGTCTTCCTACAATTAGTGAATGTGGTACAATGTGTACGACTTAGTTCACACCAGTGCCTGCTTTTCATTTCCGAGATTGTTCCGTATCTTGAATCAAATGCACAATCTTGACTACCGTGTCATAATGCACTGGCTTACAGTTTGTATATAAAGTCCAACTCAAGCTTATTTGGTTTATTGTACATGCTTTATTAAAACGGTACTGGTATTTACAGTATCTGCAAGTCCCTTCCAAGGCGCTCTCACACACAGTCAGACACACCCATACAACACCCATACTACAGCCCCATGAACCCACACCAGTGAGACGTGAGTCAGATTCCTAAACTGAGGCAGCTGTTGGGGGACAGAGGTGTTGATTTGTTTTTCAATTTTCTTTTGAAAAGACAAAAGCATGGGGGGAATGCATTTGGCCATTACAATGCTAATTAAGTTTGTGTATATTAACATATATGGCAGTAACACTGAATATTCCTTTTACATTCTATATACACAGAATGACATCAAGGTTTTGCAGTCAACAGAATATTTCAATTTCAGTCTTAATGCTGCTTGTAGTGACTTCTGAATTCACATAGGGGCTTTCCCTAAAAATAATTCAAGTCTATATAAGTGAAATAAGGCACAATTAATATTGATTTGATGTAGGGGCAGGGAAGGAATAAAACTAGTTTTAAATGTTCTTACTGTTGGGGAATAGCTTTCACTTAAATCCACTTGAAACCCCTTCGAATTTCCAAAGATTTAGAAACAAAGGTTTTTTCCTTTTCCCTAACAAAATGCAAAAAGAAAGTCTGGGAATTCACATTGTCATGTTTCAGTAGCCTAAACTACTCCAATGGATGTGTGCTCCCACCTCTCCTGCCCAGGCCTCCTCTTGCCCTCAATGTTAAAACAGAAACACAGCACATGGAACAGCAGTCCCTTGCTGGTTTTTTTGAGGAGATTTGTACACTTAAGTAGCAAACACATATCTGGTTGTCGCTGATTTAAAAAAAAGAAAAGAAAGAGTAACCTCATGACTTTCTTGCTCTTTAAAAAATCCCTGTCTCCTTTTTAGGATGATGAAGCCCCACCAGACATTAAAAACAACTGCAACAAGGGAGTGTGGCAGCAGAAATAAGGTCTAGTATTCAAATCTTCACCGGAGACTCATTTAGCTTGTACACAATCTGTTGAATGTTTTTTGCAGCAGGTGAACCAACCCAAGGACGCTGGACATTCTGTGAAAGAGTAAGAGTTGCAGTTCTGAAGGCCCCTGACTTTGGTTGTTTACAAAGTTCAATCCTGTTTATTGTGATCCTTGGTATCCTCTTCATCTGTATATTCTGATGGTTCTTCCCCTGGTTTTAGGAGTCTGCCTACATAATCATATTTTTCTGAAAGATACATCAAAAGGAGATCAAAAGCAATCAAATGTGTTTCACTAGTCCATTATACAGCACAGAAGGTGTTTGCTTCTTTTAGAATTGCACAGAATAAGCCAAAATTTCTCCTATTGCTCACCTTGGCAGGTCTTTGTACTCATGTAAGGCTTGAACAAAAGAAAACAGGATTAGGGAATTTATAAAGCTTGGGGATTGTGCTTTGCAGAGATGTCCCACACTATGGTTCCTAACCAAGAGCACAGCAGCAGAATCGCCTGGAGAGCTTTTTAAAGAATATGCATGTCCAGGACCCACCTCAGACCTACCCATCCCAGGCTTTTGGGTTAGGTCTGGTGACATGTACTCTGACACTGGTCTAACTGTGATGTGCACTGGGAGTCTCAGAATAGTTCTTTAAATTTTATACATATACTGGATTTTGTATAGAACTGAGTTGCAATAAAATACAGGATTAATAGTATGGATCAGAGAAGATCATAAAAAAAGAAATGTTGACTTTTTTGGTGCTAAGGAAGGTAGGGAAAAGAATACATAAGATGGAAAATCACATGATAAGTAGATCCTGGGGAGATATTCCTGGAGAGAAAATATGGCATATGCTAATAGTCCCCAAGAAAAAAAATCAAATGAAGAAATGAAGTCATTTGTTACTTAATATCCTGTGTTCTTTGAGATCTCAATGTGAGGCCCCTGTTGGCACCACTATTATTTCTCCTATCAAACTCTCTTCTTAGATCTCTGTAATATTGCTTATTTTTATGTTGCCAGGTGTTTAATTTAGAATATAGTCAGATCTAAGGTGATATGTGTATAGTCATTTCTTGGTTAGGAATTTGAACCTGGGTTAAGTGATTAAATGATAAACCAAGAGGGTAAGAGAAGAAGGCAGCTTCATAGGGCAGAACCAGTACAAGTGCCAAGAAGCCAAAAGAACTGTTTCAAGGGATTCATAGGTCACATAAATAGCTGTCCAGAGTGTCACACATGAGGTAATGTCACAGGGTATACTAAAGGGGATGACATTTTTTCTTTATGGTTTGAGGGTAAGATCAATAATTTTGGAATAAATTATAACTATAGTATCAATATTAATCAATTCAGGTTTAAATAAGTCTATATTAAAAAAACTATACTTACTGAACAAGCCTTGTAAGACTAAAGATGTCATAATGTTTGTTAGACTTAGAGTCTGTAACAAGTCAATTTTATAATATGGATTTATAAGTAACAATCATATTGATATTTAACTGTTTATCATAAAATAATGATGGTGATGAAAACAGATAACATCCATAGGCTCTAAAAGAATGGGAAATAGTATACACTTTTTTTGGCCATTAATTTAATACTCTGAAAGAACCCAACAAAATGAAGGTACCTTTAAATTGCATTTCCCATTCTCGCACACTCTCCATTTGTACAGCATTCAAATCTGAGAGATCATCATATTCCTCTTTAAGTGCATCTTTATCTAGGCAAAATGTTGCTAGTCCTCTGGAGGCATCCCTTCCAGCAAATATTCCATATGGACCAGCTAGGGAGGGGGGAAAAGAAATAATTTAGATTACCTAAAAATACTTTAGAAAGCCTCAAAGGAAAAAGCTAATAAAATAAACCTCATAATACCTTCCTTATATTTGGTATACAGCCTTAATTTCAAAACATGTACAGATTAGATGGGATGACAAGAAATTTCTTAGAAATCTGCCTTCTGACCAAAGTAAAGCTTTTCACTGAAAATTTAAACCTTAAATTTCAATTATTTCAGATAACACAATTTGTATTCAAAGATGAAGACTGTAAGGTATTGTGGAGAAGAGGAAACTTAGAGAATTAGTTTGCTTAAGGAAAATTATACTTTACTGATTGCTGTTAATTGTGGCATCTATAAATAATCAATTGCCTATGTACTATTTAAGGACTCAAATGAATTGTGGATCTAAAACAATTTTCTTCCTCCTGTCCAATGCAGGCTGTAACTATGAGAGCAGACTATTATCATCGCTGGGACCCCAGTGGCTAGTTCAGTGACCAGCATGTATAGATGGTCAACAAATATTTGCTGAATGGTTTTATCAGAAATATGACCCATTTTCAAAAATAAGTATCATCTGTCATAATATACTCACAGTTATCTATATAAATTATGAAAAATCATTAAAAAAAATAATGGTTTTCACTTGTCACAGCAAGTGGCTTTAAGGAATAGCTCTTCTGACTCATACAACCCAATTAGCATTTTGTCCAAGGAATTGGGAAACATCTTCTCTAGAAAGGAATCGCATGATTTATATGCTGACAGAAGCGAGCCATTCTCAAAGTCTGTCCTTGACAGGAGCAACAGTCTTGTTCATTCTCAATGCCTAGCACGCTGCATGTAATGAAGTCGGAACATAAAATATTTCTTTCAAATGAAGAAATTTAGCTGCAATTCCAAATAAGGAAGAACTGTAAATTTTGACCCTTTACTTTAAACAGATTCACTTAGGTAAGCAAAATCTCCACCCAAATATATGATAAAAAAGACACTTCAGTTATTTAAAACACAAACTACCAAAGAAAACTGAAACAATTCTAATTTTCTACATAAAGAAATTGGTTAAATAAATTATAGTACATTAAATTAATGGGGTAGTACACACCTTTCAAAAAGAATGAAGTAACTACATATACATATAAAGAAGTCCATGATATATTAACCAATAAAAGCAACTCAGAAGTGTATACACACACACACACACAGAAATATATACACACATACAGTATGTTACAAAATGATAATATTATTTTTATTAATAAAAATCTTTTAAGAGTTAATGCTATCTTCATCTTAGGCTGCAGAGAAGACCATGTAGATTTTTCTGTGTAAAATATTTCAAGAATTAAGTGCTAATAAAATAAAAGAATTATGTGCTAACAAATAATTTCCAAAATACATAATTTCACAAAAGAAAAAATTTCTTTCCTGAGTCTGAAAGTTATCCATAGACAATAAAAGTAATTTAGAGAAAATAATTTTAAAATCAGAATGACTGGCTTAATTATTATAAGCAACAGAGTGAGTGGTCAGTCGGAGAGCTTATTATCCAGTTAAGAGAGTATTGTCTAATGAGAAACAAGTAGAAAAAAACTGGTAACTCCTTGATTCTTCAATGAACAGAATAATAATTATACCTATATTCATATTTGAGGGCATTTAGGAAATTTAAAAGTATACATCAAAAACTGTACCTCTGAGAGTAGAATTCAAATTCTACTTAAGTAGGTAAAACCTGAATGTATATGGACATTAATTTGACTTGCAGAAAGCAGTGCACCATAAAGTTGATTGTGAAGGGTCCCCAGCAGTAAGATGGCAAACTTCCGGCTTCTCTTCGGGGGTCCTCAGTTCCCGCCGGCGCCACCTGAAGCCCAATCACCTCTCGCCCCCCTCCCAATCCCAGCACCTAGCCAACAGCCACCAGCCCCGTAGAAGTGACACCTCAATCAATTCATGCCCCTTCCTATATAACCCAGCACCTTTCCCTAATAAAGCGGAACTCTCCGGTGAATTGCTGCTATGTGTCGCTCCTTTCCTTTCATTGGTGCCGAAACCCGGGAGACGGGACACCCCAACTGGGCCCCGTCTTCCCCCGACACCAGCAGCAGCTTGCCCTCGTCCTCTTTTTCCGGCGCTGGCTCATCACACTCACCACTCCTCTCTGGCCTTTAGGTAAGTTTTCTCCCCGGAGTGGGCCACTCTTCCCCGAGCTATCGCAGTGCCATTGACCGTGATCGTCCGGCAAGGCCCTGACGCTCGGGGATGAGGAGGGAACGCTCCCCGCCTCAGGCCTTCACGGCTGCGGCGGACCCTCAGGCCCCTCCCCAAACAGCCATAAATCCCCGCCTCAAGCCTTTACGGCTGCGGCGGACGCTCAGGCCCCTCCTCCGACAGTCATAAATCCCCGCCTCAGGCCTTCACGGCTGCGGCTGACTCTCAGGCACCCCCCTCCAACAGCCATAAATGAGGTGACTCCTTTGTGGATGAGAACGCTCCCTTTTCCCCCCCTCCTCCTTCTGCTCCGTCCGCCGAAAACGCCTAGCGCTAGGTACCTCGTGACTCCGGCACTCTGCCTTCTTAGGGAAGTCTGGGTGACGACCCACACTTCCCAAGAAATTCCGACTCGTATACGAGTTTCCGCAGACCACCAAGGATCATCGGGGACGCCCTTTGTCTCCTTGTGGTCTGCTTCCAGTCCGAGGATCTCCGTTCGTCTTCCCCTGTTTGTCTCCTTCTCTGTCCTTTAGCCATGGGAGCCTCCTCATCCCTCCCTGAAAGTTCACCTCTTGAATGCCTGCTTAAGCATCTGGCTACCCTCTCCCTGATGCCTGATATAAAACCAAAACTTCTCCGTAAATATTGCTCCCAAGATTGGCCGACATACCCCCTAGACAATAAAAACCAATGGCCTGCAGGGGGAACTCTTGATCCTAACATCACTCGCGATCTTTTTAACTACTGCCAGCGCCTGAAAAAATGGAAGGAGATTCCCTATATCGAAGCTTTCCGCCTCCTCCTCTCCCCGCCCCCTCCCAAGTTCTCCTAGCCTGCAAGCCGCCGCCCCCGCAGAAGCCTCCCGTTCACTCCCTTCCCCTTCTTCTCCTACAACAGCCCTTCTCCCTTCCTCCCCAACCATCTCCTCCCCCATCTCACCTCCTCCACCTTCATTCCCTGCAGATTAAGCCTGAGCCTTTCAGCCCCCCTTTAACTAGGTCCCAGGGGCCTCCTCCGTCTTTGCCCTCATCACCTGTTTCTCCCCTGTTAGGGACCGCCTTTGTCTTCTCACATGTTTGTAGAGAGAATGGGAAAGCACCTTCCCCCATGTCTGAACGCAGCATGGGAAAGCACAAGCTAGAGAACAACCGGTGCAGTCCTTAGAAGTTATCTGTCCACAAAAACATATCTTGCCAAGACTCCTCACTCTGAAAATAGGGAGACCTTGAAGATGTGTAGAAACACCGCCCCTGCTTCTAGCTATGCCCTTCCCCCACTTGCCGATGTGGCAGGAATAGAAAACAACGCATTCCATAAGCAATTAACTGGAGCCCTGCTGTAGCTCAGTAGAGCATGGGACTCTTAACCTCAGAGTCATGAGTTCAAGCCCAACTAAAGCAGCAGAGGCAAGCAGCTGGGCTGCTAGCTGGCGACATGTGGGTCCGATTCTATCTTTCTTTATTTTCTTTGCCCCCCTTCTGCACTTCAGGACCTGCTCGACTAGGCACGGCTAGACCGCGTCACTCCCCCACAGACTGAGCCAGAACCCTTCAGTCCCCCTCAGACTCAGTCCCGAGAGCCTCCCAAAATTATCGCCCCCCTCCGGGAGGTAGCAGGATCCGAAGGCATCGTGCGCGTTCACGTCCCTTTCTCCTTAAGAGATTTAGCCCAACTAGAGAAACGCCTAAGTTCCTTTTCCACTGATCCCATGACATACATCAGGGAGTTTCAATAGACCCTCCAGTCTTACAGCCTCACACATCATGACATTTTCATGCTCCTGGCCAATACTCTCCTCCCTGAAGAGCGTAGACGAGTTTAGGACTTCGCCCAAATGCAGGCTACTGAAACCCACAGGACTGACCCCACCTATCCCCCTGGCCCCACTGCTGTCCCCGAACAAGACCCACACTGAAATTATAACACCGCCATGAGTCTCCGCTCTCGAGATATTTTTGCCTCCTGCTTAATAGCAGGTCTGAAAAAGGGCAGCTTGTAAAGTAGTCAATTTTCAAAAGCTCCAAGACATAATTCAAAAGAGAGATGAAACCCCCTCCGAGTTCTTAGACAGACTCACTCAAGCCCTATTACAGTATACCAGCCTGGACCCAGAAACACCTGAAGGAAGACATGTCCTTATGACATACTTCCTAGCTCAAAGCTACCCCGACATTAAAGCTAAACTCAAAAAGTTAGAACAGGGCCCCGCTACCCCACAGACTGAGATCCTAACAGTGGCCTTTAAAGTCTTCCATAACCGGGAGGAGGAGAAAGAATGCCGTAAACAAAAGGCTGATCAGGCCAATTTCCAGATGTTGGCCCAGCTGATAAAACCACAACCTGGGCGCCCCTCTACAAACAAGCCCCCCCAAGAGCTTGTTTCAAGTGCAGAAAAGAGGGACATTGGTCAAGGGCGTGCCCCTCCCCCAGATCTCCTACCACCCCATGCCCCAGATGCCACAAAAAGGGCCACTGGGGGTCTGATTGCCCAACCACCCGAAGGGGAGGCTGGACGAACAACCCCCATCCTAAGCCCGCCGTAGTGGGGCTGGCAGAAGAAGATTGATGGGGCCCGGGGGCTTCTCGCCCGACCATTTCCATCACCAAACAGGAGCCCAGGGTTACTCTAACAGTAGACGGTCACCCCATCTCCTTCCTCCTAGATACAGGAGCCACCTTCTCAGTCTTGTGAGAATACCGGGGCCCTACCACGCCAGCCATTACTCCTATAGTCAGAGTAGGAGGTAAACAGATTTTCCCATTAAACCCCCCACCCACCC